ACAATCGTTGAGGCGGGCTTTGCACGATGACGATGGCTCTGATTGGTTTTAGGTCTATCCAATAGCGCCCAGAGGCATTTGAGGGACGTCCGTTGGTGACGCCCCTTTGGAAATGGGCTGTGAATGAACCTTCCCCAGACCCACTTTCAATTACAATGCTGTCAACCAAGCTAAGAAAGACTGGGTGCCGCAAATAAAATGATACAACAAAGATTAATCTGTTATAAAGACTCAAAACTCAGTCCTGAACATTCGAGTTATAGTATGAATCAGAATAATAGCTCATTAAGTAACAGATGATTCTTATGAGCCAGTTTGAATGAATTAGTTAAAAATCAGTCATGAACATTATGCTATAGTTGGTCTGTAGTACCTTTGTATGTTTTTGAAATAAGTCTTTCCAAGTCTGCATTTGATCAAAAACACAGTAATATTGTGAACTATTATTTCAATTTAAAAGAACTGTCTCTATTTTAATATATTTTAAATCTGTAATACATTCCTGTGATGAAAAGGTTTAATTTTCAGCGTTTCAGGAAAGAGATATAATATTTTAAACCAGTTAGTTTATCATGATCAGACTTGACTGGTTTGAATCAGTCTAATTTCACTCACTGAATGAATCAATAGGCTTGAAAATTACCTAGAAATTCCTTTAAACACAGTGAGTCATTAAATCATTCACATACTCAGTGCGGATTCTTTCAAGTGTCAAAACAGTCAATCATAGTTCATTCAAATGAAAACAACAGATTATATGAAATGCCAGCGTGCAGACAGGTGCTAGTTTTGCAAGCTGACGGAATGTGTGAGGACGTGAAGTTTCACTTTTGAGTAGACTGACATTCTGTTCGCAAGCTTCCTACAGTGGTTCACATCACCCTGACTCATGTCACATTTATTTTTTGCAGTTAGTATGCTGAGAGAAAGACTTTTGGGGTGAAGATTATGTCGTAGGTTGTGTTAAGCTGGTGAAAACAACTCTGTGTTGTGTTGTTGGTCAGAGCATTTAGGAAAGCGGTGTTCAGGAACGTGCTGTCCTGTGTGCTGACAGAGGTAGAACCGGGACATTATTCCAGACATGGCTGACAGCCACAGCTGCCCTCCAGATGTTTATACATCTGATTACTGCATAAATGAAGTATCTGCTCCAATTAACCACAGTTAGCCATCGTTATTTGTAGTTTTGGAGGATTCTAGCTTTTTTCAGTCGCCCGGTGTGCACTTTCTCCGCCTGACCCTCTCTGCCAGTCTTTCTTTCAACTTCTATATGTTTATGAGGGTAGACATTGAACTGATCACATTTAAACTGATAAAAGAAAACTGTGGTTATTTTCAGCTTTCAAGCTCAAAAAGCAACATAAAAGCACCATAAATTGGTCCATATGACTCACAGGGTTCAATTCAAAATTCAGTCTTATATATTTATATATATATTTTTGTATTATTATTTATTAATAAAGACTCACTACAAATGTATGCTTCTTATGATGAAGATTTTTTAAAAAATAAATTGGTTTAAGGTGATTGGACATAATCAGTGTAAATACTCATTGAAAGCGGATGCTTTTGGGCCAGGTCTTTTATACTGAATTGGCTAAAAAGACTCAAATTCAGTCATGAAATTTTTATTTATTGATCTGAATCAGTGCAATGACTCATATGACCAACATACTATGATCTAATGATTCTTCAGGGCCAGGTCTTTTAAAGAAGTAGTTCACGTTTAAAAAAAACTTTTGTTGATAATTTACTCACACCCATGTCATCCAAGATGTCCATGTCTTTCTTTCTTTAGTCGAAAAGCAATTAAGGTTTTTGATGAAAACATTCCAGGATTTTCTCCATAATGATGGACTTCAATGGGAACCAAACGGTTCAAGGTACAAATGAGAGTTTCAGTGCAGCTTCAAAGGGTTTTAAACGACACCAGACTATGAATAAGAGTCTTATCTAGTAAAACGATCTGTCATTTCAGAAATAAATAAAAAAGTTTAAGTTTCAAAAGCACAAATGCTCGCCTTGCTCTGTTCTGTGATGCGTGTTCATGACTCTCCTGTTCAAACTCGTTCATCAAAATGAACAAGTCTTTTTTTGAGTCATGACTCAAAGTGTCCTAGATAACACTCTTATTCATCGTCTGCTGTCGTTTAAAACCCTTTGAAGCTGCACTGAAACTCTCATTTGGACCTTGAACCGCTTGGTTCCCAATGAAGTCCATTATATGAAGAAAATCCTGGAATGTTTTAATCAAAAACCTTAATTTCTTTTCGACTGAAGAAAGAAAGATGTGGACATCTTGGATGACATGGGGGTGAGTAAATTATCAGCAAAGACTAGAGTAATGTCTATAGGAACTCTTAATTCATACAAAAGCTTTATATAAAAAAAAATTAATAAAAAAAAAAACACCACTTTTTGGTGCTTTTAGTTTTGTTCTTTTGTCCCTTTCAGAGCTTGTTGTTATCAAAAGTGCTACATAAAAATCCTTCAAAATGTTTTTCTTTTTTTGTCCACCAGAAGAAAAAAAAACGCACCATGTGGGTTTGGAAAGACATGAAGGCGAGTAAATAATGACAGAATTTCATTTCTGGCTGAACTATTCCTTTAATAAAACACCAGAGAGCCAGCGTTTGTTGAGGAGAAGAGTGGACAGCTCATTCCACAGCTAACCGGGAATGTCCGTGGCAGGAATTGTGTGCATGTCCAAGCATGTGAAATTACAACCCCCTCCCCTAGCACCCCTCTCCGTGACCCGGCTGATCTACTCCGGGACCAGCAGAAAAGCCCCACATCCTCATCAAAAACCCGCTGGAGGCCGCAGATGATGAATAGTGGCGCTAGATCTATTAATTCCATGTAACAGTTCCTTTCTGCCTCTTCAGATTCCCAGCGCTCCCGGCACGCTTAGCGGTGCTAAGCTAATGCTCTCGCAGCCGCAAAGCAGCTTTGACTGTAATCGGGGAATACAATATGTCATCCTTTTCAACACCATGTATGTTATCCAGAGAGAGCAAATATGAAAACACATGTTTTGACAGTTGTTTTACCACAGAGGAAACGGCGTGTCTGTGTTCATAACACAAGGACAACTATGCTCTCCGCCTCTACCACTGACCTTAATAAAACACATTCAGGGACTGATGACCATAAAGACGATGTGTCATCAAATATCTTCTTTCCTTTTACTGGTTAGTTTTGTCAATGTCTTAGTAATACCATATGTTCCTAGAAATCTTATCTTCTTTCATTGCAATAGCCTTGCATATACAAAGACAGACTTACATAAAGCTTATGATGTTCCCAGAGTATTGTTCAAAGAATGTTCTCAGAGGACATCGAACAAATGAGGACACGGCGGTAACAGCGTTCTTTCAATTAGTCATCATCAGATACGTTTCACATAGTCCAATCAGTTAGTCTTACAAATAACGCTACTAAATTTAATTAGGACAAAGTGCTGTTTTCTGTTTCATACGCTTAAAGGATTGACAATGTTGAATAGATTTAAAGCCACTTGTTTTTAAAAAAGGATGTTATCCGACAACAACCATGCAAAGTCATCCCTGTGAACTGATTAGAGGATTCTTAAGATGTCTGTCTGAAACGTGCCGCTTTGAAGCAATCGCAGTGTTCCACTATAATCGCAATTTCACAAAGCGGACTGTCTTTAATAATGATGATAGAAAAACACTGCACAATATATTAAATACCTGTCATATTTGCAGTGTTCAGCGTTATTAAAACCTCATATCACTGTTTGAGTTATGTGCTACAGACAACAACAAAAAAATATGTTTACATCCCAAAAGGGATGTCATAATAAACTAAAATGTGAAGTAAAATATATAAATATTAGATGAAAAATTGAAAAATGTAAAAAACTGAAATGAAAAAGATCAATCCTGCTTGGCAACTAACTTAAAAAAGTTTAAGATGAAGTACTACATTTTTATTTTTCTTTAAATCATAACGTTTTAAAAATGACAAAAGCATATAACCAAATTACAAGTAAAATTCAGTGTTTTTCAAGACATTTAAAACAACCAGAAAGGGACTATGAGATCAAATAAAGCCTGACAAAATCTCAAATTCAACACTGTTAATGAACCTAAATGAACGTTACATATAAAATAACTCCATTTATAATTCAATAACATGTCATAAACTTAGTAAAAGTTCGCTTTAGACGACGCCTTGAATAAAATGCCATTATAAATGATCCAGTCAACTTCACAATGCATACAAGATTCATTCTGCTTTAACATTAAATTTCATTTTTATATTTTAAATTATTAAAAATTATTATTACAAACAGTTCACAATTAAACAGGCTTTGACAGACTTCCAATATCAGACTTCCACTTATAAGCCAAAAATTAATCCTGTTTACGTTCACTAAACCTGAATTTGCTGACCTATGAGCTTCGAAGTACAGAACAATCCGAGACCACGTCCGAGAACCGAGATAACTCAAATGATACGATTATTCATAACAAAACCAAAACTAAATCGCTCACATTATAATCAAAAAACCCTTTCTACAGCGGAAGGGGCCCTCTCTTTCTACCGGTTGCCACATTTCTACCGTTGAATGATATATATACACCCCCAAATCTTTATTTTTATTCAAAAGACCATGAAATTAAAACTCTTCCGCGTGCGTCGAATGAGGAGGTAATGCCCCCCGGAAAAGATAAGTTTGCTCAGTCTATTTAGTATGCAGCTGCTGTAATGAACTGTACACTTGTGAAACATCGGTTTGAAGCGTGTTTGTGCATGCGAATGCATTCATGCGCATATCTGTGACCTGCTTACTAATGCGTGGGAGCGTACGCTTAACAAGTCAATGCCTAATGGAATGACTCATTACTAGTGATTTTCATTCCAACGGCTGTTCAGTTAACTCATACTGTATATATATAGCAAAAATAAAAACAGCTCTGAGGTGACCGGAAACAATATTGCCGTATTTGGGAACTGACACCTGAGCGACTCACCGTCCATCCGCCTCCATCAGTAGTCATGTCACAGAAGACCTGGAAGCCTGCGGGGTAATGTGTGGGGAAAACGGAGTAGATACCATCCTCTCTTTGCCCGCTGGCATAGATGTCACTGCAGTCCCTGGGTCTGGAACCTATCAGAAGATAGGACATGCTAGCATCATCAATCCACATTAAGCGGCAAGCCATCCGTTTTTTGTGTTTTTCTTTTAGTTTTTTGAGAAACCTGTTCAAGGTGCGGTGTGAGAAAAGAAAGCTTCAAGACTTCAAATCTGTCATCTCGCACCTGCTGTCTAAGCAGTGGCATGTCTCTTTCACACTGCTCGAAAGCGTACGAGGGAATAGGTGTGAAAGCATTCTAGGGCTCATTAGAGCTGGCTGGAAAGTTGAGAATATGGGGCTAATGAGGAGGTCTTTTTACCCTCTCCACCGGCGCAGCCCTTGGGCCGGACGCCGCGCACCGGAGCCCTCTGCAGATCTGCCTTGAGACGGCTCTTGATGTTTCCGGTTTCCTTCTGCATGGAGCTGAGCGCGTCGCTCACAGAGTTCACCACTTTCACCATGTTGATCTGACTCTCTGACAGCAGCTGGAGAGAGAAAGCAAAGGAAGGTTTGAGGTACAAAGGGATAAAACAAATGATCCATTTCTCTTACTGAACCTCTCAGAGAGGCAGAAATTGAATTGAATTGAGCACTAAAATGAGGGCACAGCTGCCACATTTGTGTTGATTCCCTTCACAAAAAGAGCTTGGTGAAACTTTGCGTATGGCAAAGAATTGATGTTCAATTATTTATTTAGAAAATAGAAATAAAAGTATTATTAAAATGAAAATAACCAATGTTTATTACAGTAATTAAAATACCGTTTATATATCTGCACAATAAAAAATATAATACTTTATATAATTATGTTATTTAATGTTTAAACTAAAAAGAACAACTATTCAACAATAAAATAATTATTTATAGTTATTGTTTATTGTTTTAAGAAAAACTGCACTCTAAGCAATGCTGGGTTGTTTTAACCCAAATGTTGGGTCAAATATGGACAAACCCAAATGTTGGGTTAAAAATGTCATTTAAAATGTTAACTTCAACTTTCACTTTCAACAATACATTTTTTAATTACATTTTTAACCCAATATTTGGGTTTGTCCATATTTGACCCAATTTTTTTAGAGTGTGGTTACCAAAGTAAGTATTATTTGAAATAATAAGTTTACATCTTTTTGAAAGAAGTCTTTTATGCTCACCAATGCTGCAATTATTTGATTTGAAATTGTATTACAATTTAAAATAACTCTTCTCTATTTAAAGTAAGGGATAATGTACGTCCAGCCGGGTGTTATCGCAGAATAAACCCAGAGTCAGTCTTGCATCAGCCTGAAGGGGTTTATTCTGCAATAACAACCGGCTGGACGTACATTACCCTGCTTATTACACGGCTACTTGTCACATAAATAAATTAAATATTAATCTGAGTTGAAATATTGGTTAGCTCTTTAAACGCGGAGAGTTGCAGCAACAAATTCAAACTAGATACGCCGGTATGCAATTTTACCACTTATTACACCACATAAATAATTACGGGGGTTTAAGAGATATTGATCTGAGATGAAGCTGTTTTATAATCGTACCAAATTATTACATTAATAATAGGAGTGTAACGGTACATGTATTCGTATTGAACCATTTCGATTCGAGGCTTCCGGTTCGGTATGCATACAAACCGAACGATTCATTGGACCATTTTTTTTTCAAACGCGAATGTTTGCGGTGTTGCCATCACAACGTTGCGCAACATCAAATGGCATGCGTAATGAAAGCGTAACGAAACTGCGCTACTCATTATGTGCTTCACGGATCGTTTATCAGTTCGGACCAGCAACATATGTGCAGCGCAGGCCATAGATATCTATATAAAGGCTAGATATCTCGTCCGCGCTGCTGGCCAATGGAGGTCAACGTCAGAACCTGGCCGCCATCTTGTCACAAGCAGCTCGCTCACTGGTAACATTGTTTTAATGATGCATGTACTTTTTAAATCACCATAACTTGCTCAATTTTCAACGGATTTTCAAACGGTCTGGTTTGTTATAAACGGCAGAGATGTAGTTATGATACTGCATACTTATGAATAATAAGTGTATAAATAAATAATCATCCAGAATTATAGCCAAGTAACGTTAATAGCGTTTGTAAGAAACCAAACCGTTCGTAAATCTGTCGAGATTTCAACGAAATAAGAGTATTTCTTACATCAGATACCACAGAGCCCGCCAGAAAGCCTGTCCGTGACAAGATGGCCGCCGGTGATGACGATAAACACTCCGCCATGAGACATCTAGCCTTTATATACGTAGATATCTATGGCGCAGGATAAGAGTCCTAGATAAGAGTCTCCTAGATAAGAGTCTCATTCCTCGTCTGAGATCGTGTAGAGGCTTTGAAGCGGCATTGAAACTGCAATTTGGACCTTCAAATTGTTGGACCCCATTGAAGTCCACTATATGATAAAAAATCCTGGAATGTTTTGCTTAAAAACCTTAATTTCTTTTCGACTGAGGAAAGAAAGACATTAACATCTTTGATGATGTGGGGGTGAGTATATTATTAGGAAATTTTTCATTCTGACGTGAACCGCAGAAATCATTCGATTTCTTGGCATTTCCATGGCTCTCCTAAAAGCCTGGCTTAGACCATGATAACAATGAAGTCTCTGTATCAGCATGTGGTCCTCGGCTCTGCAGTGAAGTAACAGGTGCACTATGCTGCACAACACTGATAGTGCTTCAGTTTAGCGGGCTCACGGCCAGTGGGTCTGGAAACCACTCGGTTTAAGTTTCCCAGACAGCTCTCTTTATTGCCTGCATCAGCAAAGCCGCTTAGGTCACCTCGATAAAAAAAAAAAAAACACTTCATTCTTTCTAAGTGAGGCAAACTATGCCTTTCTCTAAGGACATGTCTTTGTGTTGCAGACATCTAACATCATGACTCAATGTGGCACTTGGGTATGTTAGAAAGCTCAGCTGGCGATTAGCAAAAATTAGCCCTAAAGTGAAGCCTTTTTCCTATGACACATGAAAGCTCTCCTTTGGGGTGTGAACAAACATCAAGTTCTTTGAGAGTGTGTCGCTAACAAGTCTGCGTATGCATATGTCGCTGTGACAACACTGCAAGCTAAGTGTGTTGGAGTGTCCGTGCACACGCTTGAAGCTGATGACGGCTGACGCACTATGTACTTTCTGTGGATGGTTGGGACATTATCATTCGCAGCTCTCGACACACTGGTTCGCTCCGGCACGCTGCCATAGCAACAACACTTAAACGTCCATCATTACAAGGCCTGTCCAGCATCAAAAGAAAAACGTCACACGCATGACAACAATGTCGCCAAAAGTACAATGCATGCCATGCTCTAGCGTTTGTTCGACGGCTCGAAACCTCATGGCATACACTCGACAGGACGCGAGACCTTAGTCACCACATCTGCTTAAACATTGCAACACAGCAGGAAACTACAAATTAAAAGATCCAGCTATTCAAAACTCATCTTGAACATTTCAATGGCTGTGTTTGGAACAGAACGACTTAATGAACACTGTATTGTGAAACAGTAGGCTTTATTGTATGATGAATGATTCAAAGTCATTTTACATGCACAAGACATTAGGATTTGGTCAGATTTGTATTGTAAACACATCCTTATTCCAGTTTCTCACAAATTGAAGACATCTGGCATTAACCTGTATTTATCAGAATTTTGGGGCATGCAAACATGCAAGTGTGTTTTGCTAGTTTCAGCCCGACGCAGTTATCATTTTCACGTCCTGTGCCACGTTGTTTAGATAGCAAATGCGTTTCTGCCCATCATGCTGGTCTGGCAGCAGCACACAAGCATGCCAATATATTAAAAATAAAAGGATTACAATGTAAAAGATTATTATTGTTCTGCCTTTCCACTATCATATTCCATCATGTAAATAGCGAATCCGCCTTGGTGCGAGCGCAACTGGCATTTAAAGGAAATGGGAGATGAGACTCTGACGGGCAAAGCCCAAAACACACCCATTACTCAATAAGAGAATAGGGACAACCCTTTTAGACCATTTTTCCCGTCATTAAACTAGCAAAAGTGGATTCGGACACGCCCTGCGCTTTAGATCATGTACTTAGTTTGTTAAAATAGGGCCCCTTATTTTTAATAATTTTTAATTTTAATCTATTTATTAGGGCTGTCAAATGATTAATCACGATTAATCACATCCAAAATAAAAGTTTGTTTTACATAATATATGTGGGTGCACTGTGTATAATTATTTGTATATAAATATAAATATATATATATATATATATATATATATATAAATACACACACATGCATGTATATTTAAGAACAAAACATTATTTATATATAAAATATTTATATTTATATATAATATAAATCTATATACAGTATATACATGAAAATATTTATTAAACATATACAAGCATGTGTGTGTATTTTTATATATAAAATAATTATACACAGTGCACCCACATATATTATGTAAACACAACCTTTTATTTTGGATGTGATTGACCGCGATTGATCATTTGAGAGTCCTGGTATTTATATTATTTACCTATTTTACGAATTATTATTATTACTGATTTGAACATGTTTATCCAAAACAACAACATTATTATTATACATTTTATTATAAGAAAAGAAAAATAATACAATGAATTATTATTATTAATGATAATTATATGGCTGTATTGAATAACCATTGTGTTGTATTGAATATTATCATTAATTATATTAATAAAAATTATAATGTTTATGTTAATAATAATAATGAAAAATAAACAAACAAATATTATACTATTAACATTCTTATTGTAATGACAATAATATGGTAATAATGAACCTCTTAATAATGAAGAATAATTACTATTATAATAGTAAATGGTTTTTTTTAAATTTTATAATAATTGTTATTATTTTTGTATTATTAGTATAATTATTATTTTAAATATGCACAGTTGCAGAACGTTAATTTTTATCTGTGCATGTCCAAAGCAAGACTGTTGAAAAGTCAAGATATTTCAGAAATGCCTTTTTTTTTTTTTTTTTAGCAAAGAGGACACTCATTTTTTAAATTACTAAAAGAAAGGTCATGGCCATCCTGCTCTTAAAGACATGAATGAGAATTGATGAGTTAGCTAACATACTGTTCAATATTACAGCAAAAACATTGCAAAACTGCACAAGTATTTCCAGACGAAACATGCAAGGACAAAAACAGAAGGAAAAGAGCAAGCATGTCTTTAATATGCTATAAGATTCTTATACTAAAAGAGAAAAATGTACACAAGTCAAACAGTCGTATGCTAAATTATCACTTCATGACCTCATCACTTTGCATCTGTTATCACCTTGGAAGATTTTGCCATTCAAATGAAATAATGAGACAAGAAATAGATTTTACTACTGGATCACACTGTAAATGTCAAGAGCACTGAGCACTGTGGGATGTCATATTTCACACAGTAGACACTGGTTTATGAGGCGAATGTAACAGGTTATGTAGGTATTCTATGC